TTGGCAAACTTTTGTAAACAAAATCGGAATGCCATCCCGCTAGTTGTGTGGAATCATAAATTCCCCTGACAAGCAAACACCTTGATGTGAAAATAAATAAAACCGAAGTAAAAAGTCAAGGAAGCTACAAAACGAAAGAGTAGAAATGGAATGGTAGATTGAAACCGAAACCAAGGGCTCGAACTTATAGCATGACGCATCCCATGAATGAAACAGAGATAAGATTCAGAACAGAACCAGACTGAAAAAAAAAGACACAATAAGATGGCAAAATGAGTGGAGGGCCCAAACCAGATGTGGGCAAACATAAATAAATAACACATTCGAAACTAATCCCCATAATCAATGCAAGCGCGTGGCTGCTTATCGAATAAATTTAAGAGAGGGGAATGAATCAATTCCATTATCAGACAACTGCCAATTCAATGGGCATAAAAACACTCATCTAATGGCTTTGAGAGTTTTCAGCTGACTTTTCCTTTAAAACCAATTTATATTTGGTTTAAAAAGCATTAAAATGCGCCACGCAAAACAAACAGTTAGATATAATTTGAAACCAAAATCAGGACATTCAAATTTAAAACAAAATGTCCTTGTATATTCAAGTTTGGTTTCTGTTATTGTTCACAATTAAAATTGTTGTTTGCCAATTAAACATGTCTCTTTATTTAAATATAACTTAATTAAAAAACATAAAACCATGGACAAAACTATAAAAATGTATTCTTAAATAAGTTTACCTGTTAAATCGATTGAAAATGTAGTTTGTTATGTTGCAATAAAATCATATAACACCATTTTTATTTCAAATCAAATTAAACGCCGTAACTTAATTTCACATTCCGAAAATGGATAAAATAATTGAATTTTCAACTTTATGGCTATATAGAGAAATGCGAAATTAAATCAATTTCAATTTCGTCAAAATTAATCAAATAGAAAACAGGCAAAAGGCTTATAATTTATAGATTTTATTGGCAGCCAGAACGCAATAAATCGAATTGAGGAAATCCCCGAACCCAAAGGCATTCCATATGGAAGCAGGGAACTTAACCCTTGGCCTGCAGATGAGAAATACCATAATGTCTCCCCTTATTCCCGTATAATCCCGCCCCTGGCAACAACAATTGCATTGTGCCACGCCCTCCGCCCAAGGGCAACTTCGCTGGCGTTTCGGGGCATTTGTCATATTTCCATTCGACGGACAGCAAAAGTAAACATGGAAGTTTGTGAGTGAAAAAAAACGACCCAGCAGAGAAGAGATGGAGAACTAAAATTGCGCATATTTTTGTACTGGAAGAGGGCGCTGAAAAAGGGGTGAATGGGTTGAAGCATGCGGTGGCAAACAGATGTACAAATGAGGGTCTGAATGTGGGTGGAGGGGGGTCGAGGGGTGCACATGCACTCTTGTACTGGAGCCAAATATATTTACATTCTTCATTCATGATTTAATGCATTCCGCATTTCTTTTCTATTTAAAACATTGTTTATGTGGTCAAGTTTGTAAATAGTAATCTTAACCAGAACTAAAATATAATTAATTTTTCAACATTCAGATGGTATAATTATCTAATATTTTTGTTATAATGTGTAAGTACATTTTAAAACACATTAGCCTTTTTAGCGTACATGATTTATAAAAATTTGGAGTTTGAATTTTTGAAAGGTTTAGAAACACCAAGGTCGAAACCATTAATATAAAACTTTTTTTGAAGTTCACATACGTATATTAATTCTTTAGTAATTGAATTTGGGACCTGCAAAATGCAGGGATAAATTGCAAGGGGAAAACTATGAAAATTAAGAGAATCCGGAGAAAATCCAAAATCAGAGGCAAACGCTTTCAATTGCTTTTGTTTGCTGGCTTTTCAAAAGTTTTTTTCTCGCTAAACTGGGAGCCCAATTTTTTTTTTTAATTCACTCACCTTATAGACATCGCCGTAGGTTCCCGAGCCAATCTTCTGGATGAGCTCGTACTCGTCCTGCGGATTTCTGCGAGAGATGTCCGAGCTGAGCAGATTGGCATTGTGGTGGCTGTGGGCGGCGGCCATCTTGCCAGCTTCCGTATCCGTTTGCCGTTGCCGTTTCCGCTTCCGGTTAGCCGATCGAGTCCTTTTTCTAGATCCCTGTTAGGCCGATTTTATCTCAATCTCCTGGTTTTGCACTCTTTTCGCCGTTCTAATTGGTTTTGTTTGATTTTTTTAGCACTCGTAGCAGCAGGTAGATTTTAATGATTTTTGCGGATCGAATGGCATTTTGGTCGCTTAAAATCACACTTAATTATGTAAGATTAACTGGACTTTTAATACTTGTATATTATATATTTTTTATATGTATATTTCTTATGAATTGGATTCCGATCAGTAAATCTAGAAACACGCACGCAAAATTTAAAAAATTGCGTTTTATGACGCAGCAAACAAAAACGATGAAAACAAAAAAACAGCAAATAAGGCAGCAACAACAAATGTGATAAAAAGGAGGGGGTGAGGAGGTGGTGGAGAAAGCGCGGGGGTGTGAGTGAGAGGGCGAGAGAACGTCTCGTTTTTTTTATCCCCTCTCTCGCTTGCTCTCTCTCTATTCTTTATCGCCAGCTCTTCTTTGTTTCTCAATGCGTTTGCACTTTAATTATTATTTATTTGAATTTATGGCGAGCACTTATGTTTTTGCAAGTAAATTGACTAAATAAATAAATAGTTGCTGCCAAATAAAAAATCACACGCGACAACAACAACAACGCGAGGCGTGTCGCTTTGTCGCCCGACCGTGTTGTTGTTGCTGGTTTTTATTTTTAAATTAAATTTCAATTGCCGATTTATGCGAGGAGCCAAACGCACTAGGTAAAAACTACAAACCGTTCACATATTACACGGACACGTGATGGCGGGGCTAATTCGACCAGTAGATAATTAACAATTGTCCTACGAACGAAAAATTTCACATGCACTTCGTCAACGCGCAGCCCACAAATGTTGTTCCTCTCACCCCTCGCTAGCGATGGTCCTCTGGCACCCGGACTATCGATAGCGACACGACTATAGCGACGGTGGCAACTCTGGGATGTCGATTTTTATTTAGCTACATATCGATATTTGCTAAGCGCGGCGTTGCCAGCGTTTAAGATTACTAATTGGCGCCTATCCAAATATCAATCCAAATTCAAAGCAAATTAAAAAAAATAAATTATAATAATTTTGTTTTTGTATTGAATTGTTGTATGGAAATATTGTATTTGTATAATGGTGTTATTATTATTATGGCGGATTTTATAACTTATAAATTATTAATTTTAATACAAAAAAAAACTAAAAATACTAAAATATTTTATATTTCTTTATTCAATGGATTATTTTTTAGCTGTTTTTCCTTTCCTTTATAGTTGTTAACTTACAATACTTTTTGTACACACTTAGAAGTGGATCACGTAATCGAGTGTCCATTAAAAAGTACGCTTTAATAAGTAATTCTTGGAAAACATAATCAATTTGATTTTCCATGCATTTAATCTTTTACTTTGAATATTACTTGCCAAAATGGGCCAACTTCGTCTAGCGTTAGTAAAATTAAATGGGAATTTCGGAGTTGTATACCTTAAGGTATGCTTATTTTCATGAATTTTTTCACGCGGTACGGTTGATGTCAGATCAATTATTTAAACTATGTTTTCACAAATTTTTATAAAAAAAAATAATAAATGAGCCGTTCGCAGCAAAGCTCCGTAGGCGCCTCCAAGAAAAAAGGTTTTGCGGTGAACAGCATAACTTGTTACTGGCTCATCAGAAAAAAAGGTTTATTAGTTAATATGTTTCTGAAAGTAACTACGTTTTTTTTTATTATTACATTTTTGAATATTTGGTAACACTTTAAAGTCAAAAACGTGATTTTAGCCTAAAAAAAAAATTCGACATCAGGACCTGCGGATTTAGGTGCAGAAATTGTGTGCAAAATTTCAAAACGATTCGTTCAGTAGATTTTGCATAATCGTGTTCACCGACTTTGAAATTGCAACTTTTCAGGAGAGTGTTTTAAATTTTTGGACACCGAAAAATCGCATACAAAACGAGCTGACCCACCTATGTACGTTCAACTGCCCATAACTTCGGAAGTTTTACTCGGATAAATCTAAAATCTTAACGCAATATTCTTCAAATATGGTGCATTCAGAAAAAAAATTTTAAAAAAAGGACAACAAAAAATTTAAATACCAATACCAATTTCCGTCAAAAGTTTGAAAGGAGTGAAGGAGACATTTCCGACCCTATAAAGTATATATATTTTTTATTAGCATCACCAGGAGAGTTGATCTAGCCATGTAAGTAGGAACGAGCCGGATCGGGCTACTATATCATATCATATATGTAGCTCCCATTTGAAAAACAAATTTAAAGAAATATAACTTTGTTATTTTTAATTTTTTTTGTTGTTCTTTGGGATTTGGTAATATTTAAATACCGTAATTAAATTAAAATCAGACATCTATTTCATATGGCTCCCATAGAAAATATTAATTATTATTTTCTTTTTATGAAAAGTTTGAGATAAAGGAATTAATTACTATATCAGAATTTCGCTTTTAGTTTTGTCAAAATCGGACAACAATATCTTATAGCTGCCATAGAAACGATGGCGAAATGCATCGCAAAATCGACATATCTTCATTCTTGTTAGTAATATAGGCTTAGAAATCGAAATGTAGTCATTTTGTAATAAGTGCTAGGGTATATAAACTTCGTGTTGCCGAAGTTTGCTTCTTTCTTGTTTAAAATGTGTTTAGAGCTGCTATTTGCGACTCAGCACTTTTTGTACTGATAATAATACAATTTTCTCTTTGTATTGAACTGCTTCCTCTAGGCATGTTTTCAACGGTTTCTTGACAACAGCCTTGTTAAAATCACGAAACTATGTCAAAGTAAGGGAAACCCCAATAAAAATCATGCCCTTAGGTTCTATCGCATAGAATAGTATTTTGGGGAAACCCCATCAAAGAGATGGAAAACATTTTTAAGCCGCCTTTGGTCATACTGTGAAAATCTAGATATACTTTCTTACAAGTTCAACCAATTTCTAGCACAAAAGCAGAATCGAATATGGCTCATTTTGTACCTAATCCGGTCCATAAAAACTTCTACATCAAGGACTCGGTTGCCTACACCGAGGACCACATTCCCGTGCGCAAGTTGTACATTTACAATGTTTCACCGGAGCTTAACCAAAGCATTCTTGAGGATTACTTCGGGACCTTTGGACTCGTTCTAAGCGTGCAGGTCTTTCGGCCCCGGATCCATACGACTGGCTTCCACAACCACAAACGAAATGTAGCCAGGTACACTCCAACCTCCCTGTTGACTGGCCTCGTCTTGTACGCCGAGAAACGAGATGCAGCTAAGTACGTTCGTGAGCACTCTAAACTCCACACTCCAACCTTCTTTCCACTTCTTTGTCAGGGCCCTGATCAGCGAAATCCATCATGTGAACGGCAGTCATATTAAGGTGCTGGCCAGTGACAGCTGGCACCAGCCGGAAGCCTATGGCATGCCTCGAGATCCGCCGGTGATGCCGCCCAACACGGAGCCCCCACCGCCGCCGGCCATCATGATCCTCAACGACCACTGCCTGGAGCATATTTTGCAGTACCTTTCGCTGGCGGATCAGGTCCACTTCGCCAGGAGCTGCCTGCGCTTCAGGGGCGTCTACCAAATGGCCACCCCCTTACTGCACAAGTCGGTGGACTGGTCCCAGTTCGGTGACATGACCGTCTGGGACGTGCGCGACTTCTTTGAACTGTCCGGTTGCCATGTACAGAAATTGATGGGCAAGTTGCCCAGGACCAACTCCAAACGGTTGACTTTCTTCTTGTCCCTCAGCTCGCGCAACATGCACAAGATCTTCTCCAGGATGCACAAGCTAGAAACGCTGGAACTACAGTATTCGAATGTAAAGGACGACGATCTCTTAGTCCTGCGAAATCTGCGCAGCCTAAAGACGCTCAACCTAGATGGCAATGATTTGCTTGTCAAGACCCTTGTCAACTTACCGGACACCATAGAGTCGTTGTCACTTAACCAGTGCATGATAAGTGGTGGCTACCTTACAACGATTGGCAAGGTCTTTTACCAGCTAAAGGAACTTAACATTCTTAGTCTAAGTGAAAGTTCTGTGGACTACCAAACTATAATTCAGGACAAGTCCTTTGCCTTTCTGGAGACCCTGCGGATCACCGTCGAAGAAGACGAGAAGTACGAGCTTGTGGCGCAATTGCCCAGCTTGAAGCATCTGACTATCGTTGCTGGTCCGTTTATCAACCGTGTGCCTCGCATACATCTATTCGAGCAGCTGGTGAAGCTCAAGGCGAAGCAGTTAGAACAACTTGAAATACGTGGTTTCAAAAATCTGACAAGGGAAATGCTAATCCACATCTCCAAGCTTGTCGGATTACACACTCTTATTGTTCACAGTGATGATGAGGACAATCACCTGCAATTGCTCTCTAGTCTCGTCAATCTTAAGCAGTTCACCCTCCGACTAACGTCAAACGTAAGCGACTTGGCGGTACTGCAGTTGTTTCGCTCATGCCGTAAACTATACTTCCTGAATCTAGAGGATTGCAGACACGTGACCTTCGAGTTGGTACTCGGCATCGTGGCACAGGTGCGCAAGGAACTGAACAACAAGGAGATGCATCGCAAGTTACCCATCCAGCTGGTGGCTAGCCGCATTCTTTATGACGATATTTTGAAAAATCATAATAACGTGCCCAAAGATATAATCATTGTTCGTGAACAGCTTTAATCATATCTAATATATAGGCGCATAATGCCATCTCAATTCTATTCTATATTCTTTAACCTAACCTGGCAACGCCGCTAAGACGGCGTCGTATTTCGTAATTCAATTCACTGTCAAATAGGCTTCGCAACTGGCAAGAATAAAAATTAATACAGTCCACGCATACGTAACTCAACTCGTTCTTATTTCTGACCATATTGATGGTTCTTCGTTCTGGATTCTGGACAGTTAGTGAAGCGATTTGATTCTCAGGTTAATTGATTGCTATGGAACAATTAAAAGCATTGGTGAAAAGCCGTTCCAGGCTCAAGGCCAACATCACACGTTGTCTCTCATGAGCTGAGCGAGCGGAATCTGCAACACAGGCGGAGATCACCACGCGCAAACAACTTCTCCACGAAGTTTGGAAGGAGTTCAACCGGTTCGGCGATTGCATTGCTCTCCACTAGGAAGAAGAAGGTTACGTCGATCCGGAGATCGATAAAGCGATTTACGAAGAAAAGGACCTAAGGGCGAACGCATTTCTCAATGATAGAAGTGATGCTCTACAACCGAGTACATCTACAGGCATTGCGAATGGCAGCAACGGTCGGTACACGCGGCGAATTCCAATCTGAGTGAATTGGCGAAAATTAAAATCAAACGGTTCTCTGGCAACTACACAGAGTGGACCTTTTTCAAGACATCTATGAAAGCACCATTTATATTAAGCAACATTTGTTTAACACCCAGAAGGCCCATCACTTGGAAACACTTCGTGTTGATGAAACAGCTTACAACTCTGCTTGGGAACGTCTGAAGGAAAGATACAATCGTCCACGGCACATTGTAAACTCATTTTTGGAGCCGTTTATGAGCCTACCAACAACTAGAAAGGTAAATGCATCAATTTTATTGTGTGTCAGACGGAGTAAACGAAATTATTCTCGGATTGAATGCAGTCAACCACATGGGACGCGATTGCTGGATCATCTATCTGGCCCTGGAGAAATTTGACGCCGGCACGCGGCGCAGGTGCATTGAACGCAGCATGGACACAGATTCCTCCACTCTCGAGGAATTCTTCAAATTTGGTAAAAGTGTAATTCAACAGAACACACTTTGTTTAACTGTCAGCTGTTCTTGGAAATGTCCGGGATACAGAGGCGATCCTTCGTAAAGGAGAAATCACCTGCTTGCGACCTGGTCATGGGGTTAGCAAGTTGAAATCGACATATAAATGAGGCAATGCCAGGGAAATCGTCACTCCCTTTTACATGTCCAAGCGAATCCACAGGCTTTTGGGAATCTTGCCCAGATAGCAGGGGAGGACTAGCGAAACATAAGCGCGTCCAACAACACTTCGGTGACTCTCAGTCATTTCGACCAAGGAGAGGGCACTCAATCGGTTGTATGTGCACAGGGCACTGCAAAGGAAACGGAAGTTAAGCATAACATGCCGTTTCGTATTGGACACAGGCTCAGAGCTGTCGTCTGTATCCGAGCGTTGCATCCAAGCTCTCGTATTGACACATTCGGCATCACGTATCTTGGTTACGGGAAACTCTTCGGTGAAAGCAAACACGACAAGGGGACGCAGCACCTTGCATATCAAGTCTCGTATCTCCGAAGATCATTTAGTTGTCTACGCCCACGTGCTAGGCAGAATTACTTCTTCGCTGGAACGGCAAAACATCGATGCATCGGCATTCAAGGATCTGCAGTTGGCGGATACTGAATTCAACACAAATTCACCTGTAAACATTCTATTGGGAAGCGAACACGTATGGTCAGTGTTTACAGGACGAAAGATGTACGACAACAAGGGTAATCTTATCGCCATTTCTTCGGTGTTCGCATGGGTAATAACTTCACTCATCACATCGAATCCAAGCAACGCTATTGTACTGATTACAACAGTGGACATAGGCAGCGCAAAATTGGAACCGGGGGACATAGAGTAAGAATACATACATACATTCCATTTGAAAAAAAAGAGTTTTTCATTTGTTCGAATCGAACATCATTCGAGTCCCATGGTGAATACTTATTGTTGCACTGGTTGCTCTTATTCCTAAGGGTTGGTGCCAGAACTCCCCATACCATTGCTTGTGCCTCCCACATGTTGGGTGTGGTGAGAAACCGAAGTTGGCTTCGATCATGGCTCTCAGCAGAGCTTTGGCAGAGGTGCGGGCAGAGCAAATGAAATCTCTATATAGATTCTTACTCTATGATGATTCCGATTCACTGTTTGTAGTTGAGAATAGGAGAGCTGTCTCAGGTAATCTGATACTTAGCAGTGCTTAATTTTTAGATTGAGTCAATTGAACACTATTTAACGACGTTATCTTTCTCCACACCTACTGAGCAAAAATGGACGGGCATATATGTACATTTATTTTTAAGTGACTTTAACTTATTTTATGTCGACTTATGTTAGAACCAAACCAGCATAAAATCCAAATCCAATATAAGCCGTGCATTATTCATATATATAAAAAAAAACCTTAGCTTATTTGTACTGCTCGTAGTGCATCAACGTCCATCAGAATAAGAGAGCACTTTAACAAGGTAATTCGTGGTAGACGTAACCAGTTAGAATTCCATTTCGACTTTTCCATTTGTCGTGTTATACAAAAATAAACGAGGGATGCTGATATCACAAATCATTTTTTATGTATGTATCCCTTGTCAAATTGAGGATGCAAAATAATAAGCCTAAAGAAATCGCGTTTAATCGCCCTTTTTTAAATAAATAGTTTTAATTAAAATCCAAAACTTGCGATAAGAAGTTCTACATCGGCTCCAAAGGCATGTGATAAACTTTCCATATGTTTTTCGGAATGCACTCCATTTATCAGCGTAGTGGACAATATTTTAATAAATTTATTCAGCCGTCGCAGTCATGAGCTGGAAGTCGCCTCTGTTGGTTTTTCTAGGCGTGCTGATGACCCGCTGTCAAGCCGAAAAACCATGCGTTGCTGTTATGTGGATTGAGCCTCGGGCAGTACTTGTCGGTGGATCCATCGAGGTGTTCTGCAGGTGTATTGGCTCCACGGTGGTGGCGCAGGATTTGAGCATTGTTAACTGGTTGAACTACTCGGTAGCCACGCAGCCCGTTGATAAATTCACCATCAAGTACAGAAGAGAGAAGGTCAATATGAATTTTCACGTCGATTGGCACTGCAGATATCAAGAAACGGAAGTGGGCAGGATAGAGGTGTACATAGTGCCACTGATTCATGTGAAGCAGTTGCAGTGCCGTGTTCACCCAAACGCCAGCGAAGTGACGTGCTACTTTAACCAGGCTGGATTACCCGCTTGGGGTGGGGAAAAAAGCTACTTCTTGAGCGTAAATCAAATGGCGCGCGTTCAGTGCTTGAGAAAGTCTAGCGATACCACGTTTCAGTGCCAAGGCATACCCTTCAACGAAACAACTAAGCAATACCATTTAAAGCTTGATATGGAGTGCCAAGGTTACAGCCAGACCAAGGAGTTCCATCTCGACTTCAAACAAGTACAAGCGCCGGAGTGGCCTAAGAATAAGATGCTTATCTTCGAGCAGCACGGCATACATGTGGTTTGGTCATACGATTTTTATTCGAACCAAGACCTGGAGTGGCGAGTGTGGTATTTGCCCCGTAACCCTAAGATTCAGAAGCATCTTATCCAGAGGAAAATTAAAAAGGTGTCTAATAGTTTGTCAATTGGTAGGTACATAATTGAGAGTCCGTCCTACGCCTATCAGAGCTACAGATTGCGTATCTCGCGCCGTTATCCTCTTTGGGACTCTCCGTGGTCCACCGAGATCGAAAGTCCCGACTTCGTCACCCCGGCCACATTGCCCAACCGACCACCTGAGTTACTACCAAATGGATTTTTTTACGACCCGAAAAAGAGGGATCTGTATGTCTATTGGCGTCAGCTGGACGAACTGGAGCTCAACGGGCCGAACTTTACTTATAACGTGCTTACAGACAGGGGGTAAGTTATAATATGTGCGTTCCCTTGTGAGTTGCACTAATTTACGGTCGCTCAACTCATGGAAAAATACGTTATGCCATTCTTAAAACTGATTTCGTCATAAGCCAATACTTAAGGCATTAGTAAATCCATTTCCTCAGCATTTTTAAGCAAACTTGATAAATTTGGCCTAAAATTTGTTTTCAAAATTTCATAATTGCAAATTTTGAAGGCCTCTTATAAGGACATCGTGTAATTAAATCATAAAACTAGAAACAAAATACACAAAATTAGATTAAAAAATATTATTGTCTGCTTTTCAGAAAGTCGGCAATGATTTTGAGCAACAACTCCGCTCTCTTTCGCTATTGGGATGCCGAAAAACCGGCTACAGTAGGCACTTGGAGCAAGAACTCAAAAGGGAGATCGATAAATAGCAACGAACTGCAAGTGCCCATTCTTACCAACTCCTTAAGGTATCAACCCAGGGATTTGTGGTACCACGAGGATAACCAGACCATCACATGGCAGCCGCCAATGGAGTTGGATAAGCTCATCGGATACACCATTTCCTGGTGCTCCGTCTCCATCAACAGCTTGCAGATCTGTGACGACCACGAGCTCATCCAGTTTAAGGTCCTTGACGGATCGCAGAACTGGTTGCAATTCAACGGGTCCATGGTGCTACCCAATGTGGCTGTGGCTGCTAATTACATTGGCAGTGCCAGCGGAGGAATGCAATGGATCACTCCCAGGAGGAATGGTCGCGAAAACATCGAAAAGTCCTCAGGACTAACTCAGTATATTGCGCCAACGGTCATCGTCGTCTTGGTTGGACCGATATACTTCCTCTTTCGAAAGCTGAAACGCATGGCCCAAATCGAGGTAATCGTTCCAGATATCCTATTTAAATGCGATCGAAAGGCGGGAGGACTAAGCAGATGTTCGGATCCTCCCGATGAAACCGTCGTTCCAGGAAACTTCTCCCCAAAAGCTGTAATGAACATTACGAATATACCTGCGGGTACTTATGAAAAACATGTCATTAGGTTAGATTACGTACAAAGTGGTACATATACTGAGAGCAAATTATAACTTTTGAAAACTGATATAATTTTATTTAAGTCGTACAAGAATGAATAGTAAACGTAAGTATTTATTTAGTTCTACTAAACAGTGTTAGTTAGAACAATTGACTGAGAGAACAAAAAACAAGAAAAGAAGCCAACTTTGGTAAGCCGATTATTATACACCTTTGCAGCTTTTACAAAAAATTAAATATTCTATATTTCGGTTTTGATGCTTAAAAACAATGAAGCTGGGTTGATTTTCTGATTAATTTTCCGATCGGTATCTCGGAGTATATGGATTTATGTTAAACAAGAAAGGAAAGCTAAAATTTGGGGCCGATATTCTCCAAAATTATTCATATGATGCATTTTTAATACTCATAAAAAATCCCCACTTCATAACTTTAAAAACCAAAGTTATGGCACTTCCGATCAATCAGTTATATAGCGGCTATAGGAAATAGTCGGCTGATCCCGGCCGTTCCGACTTATTTACTGCATTCAAGGGAAAGAAGGGTGTGTGAAAAGTTTCAATTCGATATCTTTAAAATTGAGAGACTAGTTCGCGTAGAAACGAACAGACGGACAGACGGACATGCTTATGTCAACAGACATAAAATTTGATGCAAATTCTAAGTTTTTATTCTCATTGAACTTTATGTTTGTGCTAATTCTTCCCAATTTTAATATTTATAAATTTATACCTTTTGCACCTTAATTTGTTTCTTAGCCTTTAGTGTTTGTGCTCAAAGCTATGGTGTACACCCTTCACCCTTTATTTGGTTTAAAAAGAACTAGGGTTTTCTTTTCACTTTTATTTTGTACAATTATTATTCGTGTTTGTAAAAAATACAAAATATCAAAGGGCTCGAGCACGTTGACACGGAGAAATGGGTTAAAGACGAATCCAAAGAACTTATTGCACATGTGTATTGTGTTCGCGTGAGTGTATAAATAAATAACGTAATATATCGAGGATTTCCATAGCAGAAGAAGATTGTTCACACAGCTCCTCCGTCTAATGTAACTAGGGTATTATTTCGATTAAGGTTTCTCGGTTAGGGGCTGGATGGATCCGATGGGATTCTCGGGGATTCCCCCTTCACAGCTTCCGTATACTGCGGTCTGCCGCAGCCGAATTAAGTTTGGTTCTGTGAAAATAAGTTAAAAAAATAATTAGATCTGTTGAAGAAGGTGTTCCATTAAAAACAACAATAACAAACAAGCTTCAAATAGTTTCAGGCCGAATATTAACGAATAAACTGAACCTTTAAGAGAAATTTCATTAGTATCGATCGAATTGTGATCAAAATTGAAAGAGGGTGTTAATTTAGTACACAACACAGTGGAGCAGAACAAGAAACTTCATGCGATTGCGGTGGCAGCTTACCCCGCTCGAACCTCTTAAAACTTCAGCTGAACGAATCTAGAACCCTGGTTTTTTTTATCAAATCGAAGGAGGATTGTGTGTGTTCTTTAAAAATATTTGGCGTCAGAGTGACCCGCACATCGCTTGGGGGCATTTAAGAATGGTATTTTACTGGCTAAAGATGCTGGGATGTTCGGCAACATTTCTACTCCTCAGTGGCCATCCTGTGTCCATGTGGTGGGTGTTGTTTGGTCGGTGATTTTTGTATTTGGTGAGGGGTGCGATGAGAAAAGATCTCAAATTAGTGCCCAGAAAAAATATGCACGAAATGAAACAGCGTGGCCAAGCGAGGTGAAAGTGCGATTATCTTGGATGCTAGCGAAAGCCAAAAAACAAAGTACAATTTTCACTTCCGACGCCAATTTAGAGGAATAAGTAAATCAAAAATTGCTCTTGGTAAATATCAAACTGCATTTGGCGGACTCAAGACTTTTACAAAAGAATAAATATTCAGATAGTTGGGTTGGACACAAAATAAGGATTTAGTTAACTAGGTTCAGATCTCTCTCTGTGAGTACCGGAAATGACGTTCTGTTCGGGTGTGTGTGTGGGTGCGTTTTTGTGTGTGTTGTGTGTGTGGAAAGAGAAAAATTAAACGAAATTAATAAATTAGTATTGGGTATTGGCTAAGTTGGATTGCAGCTCCCTCAAAAAACAGAATTGGGAAGATGGTATCCAAAGCTGGCGGGCATGAACATGCACTTACAGTTCCATGGAGAGCACCGTGGGATTGGGACAAGCTTGGGGCGCCCGTATGTGGCACTGCTTGTGACAGATCAGCTGGCAGTCGCGGCACTCGTAGCCCTGTTTCCCGGGCCTCCGGGGGATGGACTTCATGCAGATGGAGCACTGAAGACCGCTTCTGGAATGACCCCGAAAATGTTGAGTTATTTAAGAATTTAAATTTGCCTTTAAGAGATTAAAATAGCCCTTAAATCGCCTTTGTTTTACAGGCAAGCATTAAAGTCATCAATAAAATCCTTGTTGATTGCTAAAGTTCTGATAACAAACAATTTTGTTATTTAGAAACTCTTTTGTTTTTAATTTATTTAAATGATATAAAAAGTAAAGTACAATATTTTTTTAGTGTTTCAACAATTAAAATGTGGATTTTACTTATGGCTTTGGCACTTTTTTTTTGGCACATTATCAGCAGTTTAAGACTACATAACTCCAGAAGTTCTACATTTCCTTACTTAATATACCATTGAAAACGAATGCCCTTTTAAAGTTTTATATTTACAATGTAATTATAATATAAAATAAGATGTATTTTTGCAAAAATAAATAATCTGATTTTTTGAAGTAAACGTGTTGTTACAATTATAGAAGTCGAATTATAGCTTTCTATATTTTTCAGGAGGTAATAAAGTTAAAGGTAACTTATTTAACTATTACTTTGTAGCACAGAAACATTAAGATTCGACAAATCTATAACTTACCCGCTCAAATGCTTGGCAATGAAGGTGTGATCGTTGTAGATGTGCAGCTTAGTGCCCTTGCGACGCCAGCGCGGTCTCTGGGCGATGGCCAAAGGCACAATAAAGTGGCTAAAAGGAATCATAACAACTAGGTCATTTGGGAGTGCAAGAATTCCTTTGTGTGATCATAACTCACCGCTTCACGCCATTCTCAATGGTCTCCAGCACCAAGGTGGAGGCCTCGTGCACATAGGTTTTATTGCTAGCCGATGAAAAGCCTGAGATGGCCGAGGATTCTGAAATTGAGGAGCGACGTGAGTGGTCGGTGATGGAGTGACCAATGCCCATGCGGGGTCCTGCGTTTTTTATTTTTAGTGTGTGTTTTTATATGGCAAGTTGAGAGTGGCAATTGTGGCACCCAAACCAAGCACCCGTTAAGACCCATCAAATCATATTTTGCATATATGGAAGTAAATAAAAGAAAAGAATACGGAAATAGTATGAGAAATAATTAAAATCATGTCGAATAAATGATTTATAAATGGGCCATTTGCGAACCGATGGTCAGAAGATCCAAAAGTAAAATACCAAAAACCAAAAACCAAAATAAAGCCAAATATTTACAAATTATTTCAAAATGTTCAACCGTGTTTGTGTTTTTGGTTGGAATAAGTGTTTGGTGTGCGTGTGTGGGAACCATGGAATACATACAGATTCGTGTTGTGGATCACAGTTCAGTTAGCAGTTGATAGGGAAAGTATTAAGGGAGAGAAGATAAAACAGACAACAGATATAGATACAGATACAGAAAGGATTACATAACACTAAAGGCCAAGCTGGAATACTTAAAAGTATAGGGAAAAAGCAATTTTCACAATATTAAAATTATTCATAAGATATGGTTAATGGAACGTAATGATTTGATTAAATTATAGTCCTGCTTCTAAAATATATTTTGAAAGCCAAATTTTGAAAGCTAAAGTTAAAACTACAAACATAATAAAAAGGTTGTTTTTAAAAGAATGTTTTTTAAATCCAAAATACTAGGATAATATTTGGATTAATGGTTTTTTCTCATAAGTCTACATTATTATTTTAGATCATACGTTTCTTAACTTATTAAAATTATTAATAAAATTGAAAGAAAAAAAGAAAAAAGCAATTAGTAAGTGGGATAAACAGTTGAAATGCCGTGATCTCGAATGAGATTTTAAATGTGATGAATGTTCCATTGCAGAGTTATTAACGGAATGCGGGAGTAGTCCAAAAAATGTGCGTTAAGCCGGGCTCAAATAGTTAAAACGTGGACACTGGCGGAGGATTGTGACTGGGTGGTAATTACCAAGTGAATTGCTTTTGGACAGAGTGGCACGATCGACAGATAATGAACGGGAAGAATCACCATTGAGGGTTCCGGTGGCTGTTCGAGGGAGTCCGGTGGCTGTTGCTGTATTCGAGTTGGTGGCTGATAGTGACTTATGACTGTTATTATTGGGCTGATCGGCCGAGAGGGTTCGTGTCTTGGAGCGGCTGAGCCGCTTCTTCAGGGTGCCAAAGAAATTACGTTTTTTGCTGCGCCCGCGGTCGTCGATCACGTCATGACCCTCTATTAATCCGGAGTGCTGTGCCAGCTGCTGGGCTCCTCCATTCCGAGGCAGACTATTATATCCGCCCGATCCGGCTCCATTGGTGTTGCCATTGCCATTGAGGCTGTAGTTGTTGTGATAACCACTGCCATTGGGCGATGAGGCTGCATTGGGTTGGCCAAACTGCAATTGATTCGAGAGGTATTAATATGGGTTCTTCTCCAGCTCCTAACCAAAACGCATGCCATGCCGAACAACTCCTTGAACTCAGTGTACTTACCTCCGCGGTGCTTTCCTCGTTGACGGTGCCGTTACCTGAATCGTTGAGGGTCTCGCCCAACTGGCTGGCCTTCTCCTCTTTAGCCTGCTCCAGCTCAAGCTCACCCTTGGCCTCGTTGGCTGCCCGCTCGAAGGCCTGAGCCACTGCCTGGTCCAATTCCGTCGCCGTTTCGGTCACCTCGATGTGACCCTCTTTGTTCACCTCGACCTGATCGGTTCGAGGATTTGGTTAAAGAAGCGCATTTGGGGAGTTAGGCAGAGCGAACAGAACGAGAAACATTTGGATATTAGCTTGGCTTAAATACTAGTTAGCCTACATGATTC